AAAAAGTCAATTTATTACTCGAATTTCCCAGAAGCAGACTAGATCTTGTCAGAAAAAAAATCATAAAACTTGTTCTGGCCATGTTGAGGCATTAGCTGAAACTCAAACTGGTCATTCTTGGAGAGAATAGGCGATTGGATGAGATGGATTCTTCTTTTCACAGGCTGGTAACTGATTTGGACCGGCCCTTCCTAGTGTATGCTTGGCCCTGGTGGTGTCTGATTCTTTTTCCATTGCATTAAAAGCTATGCAGGTTGCATGTATGGGCAAAATAAAAAAAAAAAATATTTAGTAAACCTCTGCGATAGACACATTACCCCATTGTTGTCTCTTGAAAAATGCTGTTGAAAAAATTCTGTTGAGCATGCCTAAAAGCCACTGAGCTCATTATTTCCCATAGTGTGCTGACAACATTGCCAATGCTTCACTGAAATATGAAGCAGTGTTGTCAGCCCTGCCCGGTTCTTCCTTGCTACACTACAAAAAATACATCTCCCCCAAACTCCATAACATAACCCCAACTCCCATTATGTTATAGAGTTTGGGAGGGAGCTAGTTCTGGAGTCCAGTAGGGGAGAACTGGGTAGGGCTGACAACACTGTTTTAGTGTTCTGCAGTTCAGCCAGAGAGAACTCAGTCATCTTCTTCAGGCCCTCAGCCAAGTTCATGCTGAGACCCACACAACAAATCCAGTACACAGGCTGCATCCCAGGGGCAGCAGCCACAGGACAAGAACACTCTGAACAGGCCTCTCAAACACTTATTTTCTCCCTCTTTGGCAGGTGGTAGAGCCGGTCCCCTTTAAGGTGCCTCCTCCCCCATAAGATTACTGGGAGTTTAGGCAGGACCAGGGTGGGAGATGTGTCAGACTGCAGAAAAAGGAAAAGAGGCAACATTCAGCAGCTGTGCTCCTGATTTCCCCCCTCTGGGGAGAAGGGCAGGGTGCCCTGGGGTTAACCATCCTAGCCCCAATGTAGAAGGAGAGAGTCAGTGCAGGCTCAGAGGAAGACTTGAGTTGGTCTACCCCTTGGTTCCTCCTCTCCCAGGAAAAGTAGCCAACCTACAGGGAGTGAGAACCTATCCGCAGACACATGAGCAGCCTCCAGCCCCTTGGAGTGGAGTAGCAGCTCAGGTGAAATAGTAAGAGGGGTCAAATTGTGGTCAGGGGTGAGAGGTGGTGCAGGACAGCCCCTCTGGAATTTCCCCCTGCTCTGAGGATTTCGGAGGACTGCACTCTTGAGGGACCTTAGCCAATCTCCAAAAGAAGGCTTGGCAAGGGGCTGGGGCTCCCTTGAAAGCATTGAAGCCTGCTCAGCAGGAGGAGTGGGGAGAGTGGAGAGTCCAGAGGAAGATGTGAGGCTGGAAGGAAGGAGGCTGCCATGAGTCCTAGTGGGATCCTGCCTGCCTGTGGGCCTGGAGCTGGAAAGGAGGAAAGCTTGGAACTCACTGGCCCCCTGAGCTAGAACCACCTGTATGGCAGGGAAGGAACAGCCCAGTTGATAGGCCTGATATCAGTGAGTACACCTGCACCCCCTGGGCGGATAGGGGAAGGAGCACTTTGGTGGGAAACCAGAGTAGCCTCCCCTAATAGAGACTGTTCACCCATTTAAAGGAACAGAAGCAGAACCCCCTCAGGAAAACCTCCAGACTGTTAGGTGAAGAGGAGAATTTCATCCAGCGTCTAGGTGGTACATTGAGGAGATATTGGCTAGCTCTCCAACAGAGACTGTGTTGCAGAAGAGAAGCTTGCGAATAGTTCCAGGACGTTTGTCCTCAGTTATCGGTTCCCTTGGGCATCCTATACCCCCTTACCCTATCCCAGTTCTAAATCCCCTCAATAAACAACAAAACAAAAGCTCAAGGACTGATTTCTGACTTTGAATGCAAGCTTGTGTGGAGAATGCAGAATGCATGGCTGTGCATGTCTATAGAGGGACCCAAATCAACAGCATCCCCCAAGGGGGTAGTGCTACATTTATAACTCAATTGTAGCTGGCAAGCTAAGACCAGTCCTAGGTTGTTAATATGGTTCTCATATATGTGTATACCAAACCTGCCAATAACCTCAGTACAGTATATATGTGCATATGTTAAAGCCAAAAGCAGAATCATTGCTGTGATTTATGTCTTTGATTGTTATATGACATTTATATATTCATTGTGTTAGCAGAAGCAGAAAAGGAAAATATGCCTTTAAGAGTTAGTTAAAGGTGAGCCAATCACAGACAGCCTCATACTGTACAGAGCCTTAACCAATCCCAGCCAGTTTCACATTTGTGCCTGTGTAAAACTCCCTGCTAGGATTTTCTAGAGACACATGCTCACCAGACAGAAGAGGAAACAGACAAAGTTCCAATCAGAAAAGCTTTATGGAAGCAGAGAAAGCCAAATAGTTCCACCGAACTTACGAATCAAGTCACTGTAGAGTAATCATAATCGATACAATCTACCGAATTTAATGAATTAATCTAACAACATAAGCTAACGAATCTAATGAATCTATCGAGATAAGCTATCGAATCAACCCAATGTAATACGAATTAAACCATTGTAATATGAAAGAAATAAGCCATTGTAAGCAGTTATATGAAGAAGATTGAAGTTATTAAAGAAGTTAACTAAAGTATTCGGTGTGCTCTTTAAACCTACTGCATCTATAGAGCGGCATTGGAGGAATTACAGAGTAAAGTCAGTCTAATCAAACAAAGAAACAGCAATTGCATAATTTTTCTAATGCCACAGGGCACCAGAGGGTGCTGCGCTTGCCACATCAATGGTTGACCCTCCTACTATTTCTGGAAGCTTCTTCCAGAGGCAGACAGGAGCAATCAACCACTGAGCTTAGGGAAACTTGGCCAGACTTATAAGATAGATTGCTGCTCCACTGAATACAGCAGACCTAAAAACTAGATTCAGCCTGACTGGTGCAGAGCGCCACAAGACTAAACTGAAATAAGAGTTAGAGAGGTGCAAAGGAGCAGCTGCTTTGACTAATAAAGGTAATAGTAGATATGTATGTTGTCTGTTCTTAAATGCAATATTAAAAAAAACCAAACTTTAAAATGGTCAACAGATTCTCTTTAAAGTGGCAAGATTGTGATCCCACATCCATCATCTAACGCACAGGTGTCAAACTGGCGGCTCTTCAGCTGTTGCCAAACTACAAATCCCATGAGGCATTGCAAGATTGGCAGTTACAAACATGACTCCCAAAGGCAGACGCATGATGGGACTTGTAGTTTCGCAACAGCTGGAGGGCCACCAGTTTGACACCCCTGATCTAATGGATGCATCTTGCTTAAAGTGGTAGTAAACTCTCTTTTAATAATTTTACCTAAATGTAAGCTTATAATAAAGCTTACCGGTAAGTAAAATTAATATCTCCTAAACGTGAACCGTTTAGGAGATATTAGCTCTTTTTGATAGCTGGTGCATGCGCTCCAAAGGAGTGGCATACCCGTGCTGTTCTTTCAGAGCACTGTGCCGTGGCCCGGGACTCCGGCGCACATGAGTGATGTCATTGTGGCTCAGCCAGTCAGCAGGCCAGAGCTCACGGAAGGAAGACTGGGTGAAGATGGAAGACTCGGGGACCCATGACAGCGCTATGATGTAGGGCTTTGTTTCAAGGTAAGCCCTTCATAATGCATATTAGCACATTATGCCTTTACCTTGCAGGGTTTTTTTTTTTTAATGCGGTTTACTATTGCTTTAAAGGACAGCTATCATGAAGAATATTGTAGGGAATATGTAATAAGAGAGTGCAGCTGTGCATGGCAACCAATAAATTACCAGCTTTCATTTTAAAAGTTTAAGGGCCCTTTTACACGGGCAGACCATTTGGGTCCGCCTGTTCATTTTTCAGGCGGACCTGTTTGGAACACCCATTGTTCTCTATGGAGAGGCGGATGTAAATGGACATCTTATCCGAACCTATCCGCTAAAAACAGACAGATGGGGATCTGTTCCCCATCCATCTGGTGGACAGGTGATCTGTTTACATCGAACAGCAGACTGTGTCCGTGTCCACTCTACACAAGAGACATGGACCTGTCATTCGCCTGCTCAGCGGGGATCAGCGAACAGATGCCCTGCTGAGCAGGCGGATCCAATTGGTGGAGTCCAGCAGTGTGAAAGGGCCCTAACGTACCAAGATGAAAATAGAAGCTGATTGGTTGCTATGCACAGCTGCTCCAGCTTCTCTCTGCTCCACTTTTAGTTAATTCCTCCCATTACATTTTGATAATTGTATTCAATGGTTAATACATCATCAATCTGAGAAATAAGGGATTTCATCCTAATTTTAGTATAGTAGGTGGAGCTATGCAAATAATTATTTTTGGACCAATTCTTCTTTCTCTCTGTCTCCCCCTCTTTCTGTGCTCCCCCTATCTGGAAGGCACAACATCTCTCGATTTATAAAGCTAAATGCAGGAGTGCCGGTGTGAATGTAGCCCACCTCCCCCTCTCGGACTCCCAGCTTGTCCAGGTATGTTGATAAGTATGTATGATTGCAGACATGCAGCCAATTACTGCTGTCTATTCATTCCATAGGCTGCACATGTCCTGTAAGAATTGTGTACGTTTGTGGTCATATGATCCAGCATACAGTAAATAAAGGACCCCAGCTGCTGAAATGATCACTCAGCATGAAACTGAGAACAAAGACCTCTAATGTGATCAGAACAGCTAGGCAGAACATTTCTAGGTGGAGCTCTACAATATTCATAGGGGACATATGCTACCCTTATAGTACAGATGGACTTCTCAATAAAACATGGATTCTCTCTTCTGAGATAAACTATAGTGTCCAAACTAACTGCAGGTAGACTGGATTACGAAGGTTCAACACAAACAATATTTAAAGGATACGTTCACCTTTGGAACATGTACATACTTGCCACCTGTCACGGATTGCCTAGGACAGTCACAATTTTTGGACTCTGTCCCGCCATTTCTCAGTCCTGAAATCTGGAATAAGGGCTGGGGGAGAGTAATGTCAGATAACAAGCACAGCATGCCATGGGAAGGCCTGCAGAAGCTCGGCATGGAGGGGACCAGGGGCGGACTGACAACTCATGGGGCCCCCGGGCAATAGGGGATCATGGGGCCCCTGTGTCCTTGCCCAAACTCAAAAAAGCCTATGAAAAAGGTACCAGGGGTATCTCTTGGGGCCCCCTACTGACCCCGGGCCCTCAGGCAATGCCCGAGTTTCCAAATGGTCAGTCCGCCCCTGGAGGGGACATTTGTTTACCTTGTCCATCATGGTCACTGTATTCCTTCCCTCCGCCAGTGACTCCCTGCGGGTCCCCCTCACCTCAGAGTCAGTTCTGTTGTTGGCAGGGAGAGGAAGATGTAACCTCCTCCTCCGTACTCCACATCCTAGTGCTCCAGCTCCCAGCTTCCCTTCTTCCCTGCCAACACCAGAACTGACTCTGAGGTGAGGGGGACACGTAGGGAGTCACTGGCAGAGGAAAGGAATACAGTGACCATGATGCACAAGGTAAACAAATGTCCCCTCTATGCCGAGCTTCTGCAGGTCTTCCCATTACACCCTGTGCTTGTTCTCTGACATTGCTCTCCCCCAGTCCTTATTCCAGATTTCAGGACACAGGCCAGGACTGAGAAATGGTAGGACAGAGTCCAAAAATTGTGACTGTCCCAGGCAATCTCTTCCAGCAAAGCTAAAGCTTTTTCACATATAATTTGCTGCTGAAATAACAACCAGGAGAATGTGAGCCGTAACACCAGGGAGGAGAAACACCTGCTGAGGAACTACAAGTTGCAGCATGACCAGAACGTTTCAACATGTCTGCACAGAACATGTTGAGGGACTTCGTGTTTCTGGAAAGTGCTGAAGCCAAAGATGGCCCAAATGTACAAGAAGTGTCAGAAGCATGGGCATGCTGGGTCTTATAGTTACTCACCACCAAGTGCCCGGTCATACCAGTGTGGTTTCAGGTATGATTTGCGAATTGAAATCGCACTTGAAATTGCATCTAATGAATGTGAATGCCAGTGTCTTAACATGTGCGATTTGCCGCAGCGTGATTTCTAAAGTAGTTCTTGCATTACTTTTTTTTGCAGTTTTGTTCCGATTTCACATACATAAAATATAATGGAAATCGCACTGCAAATTGCAAGAAATCATTGAAAATCTTCACAAGTGGCAATAAAGTCTTTGGAAATCACACCTAAAAATCATGCTGAAATTGCACACTCACGCAATTAATCACAGCGATGTGACCAGTGACTTAGGGCTCGTTCACACTAGGCTGTTTTGCCAACGCTTGCCAAACGCCCCTATAGCGTTTGGCAAGCGTTGGTCCAGTGTTTGCGGAGCGTTTTTAACGCCCGGCAAACGCTCCACAAACGCCGCATGCGCGTTTAGCGGCGGTTGCTAGGCGTTTGCCGAGCGTTAATAACGCCCCACAAACGCCTATAATGCATTTGAGTGGTGTTACCGCTCCGCAAACGCCCCGCAACCGCGTCGCAACCGCACCGCAAACGCCGGCCGGGCGTTTGCGGACCGGCACCATAGACGAGAATAGGAGGCTTCAAAGCCTCCTGACTCGACCAGAGGCGTCCGTTTTGCCGCGACGCAACGCGACGCGACGCAAACGCTCCTGTTAGAACAGCACCATGTGCTGTAATGTGCAGAGTTGGCAGAGGCGTTTGGGAAGCGGTTTAAAAACGCTTCCCAAACGCCTCTCTGCCGCCTGCACACAAGGCTAGTGTGAACGTAGCCTAAAGAAGACAAATTGTCCCAGTCTGCAACGTTACAGGAAGTTTCAGTATTTAGTTTATCTCACCACCCTGGGACTTGTAGTTCACAGATTACCAACACACTAGTAAGAAAAGTGCACCAACTCCCAACATTGTCTGTCCGAGGTAATAAAAGACAATACTGGGACTTGCAGCTGCCCAAATATCTGAAAAGCTTGCATTAAGGCTGGCCATACATTATACAATTTTCTATATTATTATTATTATACAGGATTTATATGGCGCAGTTTGCTCAGCGCTTTACAATATAACGGGAGGCAATACAGCAACAATACAGTTCAATGCAAAAGGGATAGAAAATTGCTTTAGATTTACCAAAAGCCATATAATATGAGGTCGAACCTAAACAACACTTTCAATTGTATCCAATTAAGCAGGCCCTTGCACTACATAGTTGAAGGTAAATCTAAAGGAAATTGAGCAGAAATTTGGGGAATGTTGGCAACTTTGCATGTTACATATTACACAGTAAAATGTCACACTGTAACTCCTTATTTAGGGTGTACCATGTGACATGTCCGTGTACCCCCCTGAAGCTCCCCCTCCCCTGTGACAGCTCACGCACAACCCACAGAGTGGGCACGTGATCATAATGCCCATCTTTGCGTCCCACCATTTAGAATCTGTTAAAGGGCCAGGAGGCAGAGGCGGGAAGGGATTTAGAGATGTCCATTGTTAGGGTTTACAAACACTTTAATTGAATTTAAATGAATCCATATAATTGTATTTAGACATGCACTTTCTATCTAAAAAATAAAAAATATATATATTTGTAGTATAGTCATTTGTCTTGGGATACTCTTATATATGGTTATACTGGATACTTCTTATATATGGATACTCTTATATATTCTGATCTTTCTACCTTTTTATGATTTAATTAGTTAACTCCTATGTAATCCAATAATGGGGAACTATACTTGGAGCATAATTTGGTATACAACATTTACATTTGTCCAATGAAAAGTCATCGTTAGTGTATTTTTGTTGGTGTACGGTGTCCTGTAAATTGTGTGGAAGGACTATTTCAATCACTTCTTGTACTGTATCTAAAGCTAATCAGGTTGGTTGACCATCTACATTGGCTGATTTATGAAGACTGGCTGTGACCTGTAAATATTTGTTTTACAAGGCTGGTGACACATTACCAGGCAAATTACATGGATGTGATTTGTGGGACTGTTAAACTGTTCCTTCTGCCACACAGGAAGAGTCAACAGCAGCAAATCTAAGATAGCACCACAACGCCCCGACTATGGCAGTGACTGAGTTCTTGATGGAAGAAGGTGTTGCTGAAGAACCAGAAAGAAAATGTCAGTCCATGGAATATTGACACTAAGGGGCCTAGTTATATGTTTTCACCCAAACTTCACACAAGTTTCACTCAAGATTCACATATTAACTAATCGGCTTCAACTAGATCCTGGGTGAAAATTGTGTGAAAACAGTTAAAAATAGACATCAAAGTTTCATCTCTCAAAAAAAAAAATTAAAAAGAAACAAGGCAAAAGTTTTTTAGGATCCACATTCATTTCCTGGACCTGGGACAGCAATCAACTCAAACTTTCAAGTGTTACATTCTTGTGCTGGAAGCTTCCAGCCAACAAATAAAATGTTTGTATACTAACAGATAAAAATGTAATATGTTTCAGCATAGCAGTCCTTAGATGCCTTGGCTGAAAATGAGTTATTTCTTCAGTTACTGTTTCCTTTATTTCAACTTGGAGATCCTGTGCATCACATTCTTCCTGCCCTAGGATGACAACACTCACTCACTGCACTGTATCCATAAAGAATCAATGTTGTCACCCTAGACATAAAATATTTACCCACTTTACACCCAGGCTGAATCTGACATTTCTGTCATACCTGTAAAATTCAAATTTTTTTGCTAGAAAATGGTGAGTGTTGCAAATTTTTTTATGTCACACAGTGTTTGCACAGTGGTTTTTCAAATGCAATTTTTTTGGAAAAAAATATATTTTAATGAATGCTAGTGTATAGAAACATCACATTTTTTTAATTTTTAAAAGTTAAAAAATGTTTTTTATATTTAATTTTTTTTTTACACTGTACTATTTATTTTTTTTTAATCAAAAATATTGCTTGTGATAGCATGGGCCATGAGAGGTCCTCTTTATGGAGAGATCTGGGGTCTTTTAGATGAGATCAGTTTGATGTTGATGCTGTAAAAGCTGATTGCTGCATTGTTACTGGACTGCCTGATTGGATGGAAGAGCCCAGTAAAGTCAGCGGCGGGGGAGGAGGAACCCTTTCTGCCACCTTTAGAAGTGGTCAAGTTGTTGTATGGCCACTCGAATCACTTCTACATAAGAGGAATCACCGGCTGAATATTTGATACCAGAATGATGCCTGGTGCATCATTATTTGTTTGATAAGATGCAGACATCTTATCAAACAAATATAACAAAACTCTTTATATTATTTATTTAATATACAATAAGGATAGAAATAGGAGACGTTAATGAGGATTTGAAAGAAAAAGTAGATCTTATTGTAGGTCACACACTTTGCTCTGACAATGTAAAAAATAGACTGAATCTCACCATATTTCTTCATCTACCATATAGCCCAGACTTGAATCCAGTGACTTACATCTTTATTTCCAAAATTGAGAAAGACTTTTTACTTTGATCTTGAAGGACATCACTATACATCCAATAAAGAAGCTGAGAATGCTGTCAGGAAAAGGTTGTGGAAAAAAGAGTGTGGACCAGTGGTGGTCAACCTATGAGATATAGTGGGACTCAGCCATGGCCTACAACATTACTGAAGAGCTGCACATAATATCCAGTTTATGTATTACCGCAAAAGCATGTATGAGATTTTGGACATCCTATAGGAGATGTTTAGAGACTGTTGATGTGCTTCAGGACTGTTTGGAGACTGGATACATGTTGCAGGAGGCAGAAATAGACTTGGAAGATATTGCTTGAGACTGCAAGAAATCACTGGCATTGCAGCCACTTTACAGACCAGTAATCCCACTCCCAGTACTGACTGCTAAGGTCTGAGAGCTACACACCAAGAAGTACAAAAGGGCCACAGGTTGGACACCAAGGGCATAAGAAATCTTATATATAACATATACAGTTATCTAGTAACTATGTACAAACATTTATATATGTAATTAAAGAGCATATTTTAATAATTATTTCTGTGTTTACTTTATTAAAATATTCTCATCTAGTCATGAGTAACAGACATGGTGGCAGTGCTTTTCATTCAACCCTTGTACGTAATCTATAAACGATATAAATGGAAAATAACATACCCACACCACACACGAGTTTTAGAAGGTGACATTTGCCTGCAAGAGAAGGCTCTCTCCGGTCTCATTGTTGGCTTTAAAAATGTTTTTCCAGGGGCTTCCTGCCCTGGAGTCATTTATGATGGACGTCACTGGAAAGAATATCTCCCTGGCTTCA